ATAGGGCCTTAGCTAAGGCCCACTTTTCAAATGAAGGGAACGAATTTCTTTAACACCACGAAACTGAGTATATTGCGACCAGGATTAGTGGTTTCTGAACCTGGCCGCCAACTTGGCTATCTCAACTCAGAACTAATGCAAAGGTGGGACAGTCCCTAGGAGGCCAGCTGAAGGAATTTCAAAAGCTGTTAAATTAAGGTGGGTCCAGCGAGGGCATCAAAAAGTCAGTGACTTCAACTGACGGCGAAGCGACCCTTACTCTGAACCAAGGCTATATAAACCAGGTAGAACGCTCCCGACGAAAAAGTGGTGACAAGCGATAATTAGTAGCCGCGACCTTTTTTTGTTCAAAACTGTATCCGCAAGCAGCATTTACAGGCTAGCGGAAATCGACCAATCGGCGTTCGGCAATACTCAACGCTGATTGGCCCGATGCTCGTGACGAAATTGCGGGGGACTGCAGCTATTCCCCTATGGCGTTTAATAGACTTACGGCTTTTGAAGGGGATTTATACCAGTTTTTGTTGGGTTTGAGGCCATTTTTGAGCTTGGTTATTCTTTCTGTGACTTTTGACTGTGTAATAACGGCATTTAATCATAACATTTCTATATACTACCGGTGTCACAACGGCCTAAAAGACCGTAAGTACATGGGATAGACGGACCACTGCTGATGGGGCCACACTTGCCGGCGTGTGGTCATTGGAGGCCCATGAGGGCTCGACATAGGCCCTTCATGGGTCGGTATAGGCCCGGTGGGTCCAGTGCAAGCCCATCAGGGGCCGGTGCTGACCCAACAGGGCCCAGTGGCATATAATGTAAGGCCGTCTAGGGACGTTGAGGGCTCATGGGGGCCATATAGGACCATTAGGGACCACATAAGCCAATCAGGGGCCCATTTAGGCCAATAAAGGCACTTCAGGGGACTCGAAGAGGCCATCTAAGAGCCGTGGTGGGGCCATGAGGGGACGGCATTGGTCCATCAGGTGCAGTCAGGGGATGTTGTACGGGTTTCTCAGTGGCCCATTTGGGCATATCAGTAACCAATTTAGACCCAGCAGGGGGCTTTGTAGACCTATCAGGGGCTGGTGATGGTTCATCAGGGGCCAGCGTTAGTCCATCGGGGCACGGCATATGCCCATCAGAGGTAATTGCGAGCCCACGCTGAACAATGATGGCCCTTCAACGGCCCCTAATGGATCTACATTGACCCATGGGCCATGATGTGTCATGTATGCCCCTATGACAGGCCTACTCAGACCCCTGATGGACGTTCCCGGCCTCTGATGACCTATACTGAATGCTGATGGGGCTCTAAGAGTCTCCTATAACCCTTCGTCAACCCATTATTACCATACGCTGGCACTAGGGGCCCCACATCAGCCGCAGGGCAGTCCGTGCCATGACAGCATGTCTTTTCGGCCGATATTACATCGGTAATATTTATTAAAATCATGATGTTATGGTGCCATTATATAGCTAACAATCATAAGAAATATATTTCAACTCGAAAACAGCTCGAAACAGCATATAATTTTAAAAGAAACCCCTCCGAAATCCAAAAGCCTATTCGGGTCCATAGAGAATAACTGCGGTCCCCCGCAATTTCGTCACGAGCGTCGGACCAATCAGCGTCGAGTACTGCCGAGCGCTGATTGGTGAATTTTCCGCTAGCGTGTAAGTACTGCTCGCGGAACAAGAGTTCGTCGACAATCCTCCACAAACGTCTGTCACCATTTTTCGTAATGCTAAACAGCCGGAGCGTACCCCCCTGCTCTGAACCCAGAATAATCCATGGGAAAGAGATAGTTTGATTTATTTGCGAAGATGTGGAACATCGAGGGATGAGGAGCCTTTATTCAACTCTCTACTTGGGCAAACTGTCTGGGTGACATTTCCTGGTAAAATTACCTGACCTGCTGGACGCTCGATAAGTTTAGTGAGCCAGCTGCAATAATCTAGGTACACGACAAATAATTATTTCAATACTGCCCTAATGTGGACGTGGTCCGGGTAATTGTGAAAGGAAATCGGAAAGATACGATTTGAAAAAGTCGAACATTAAGAATGAAAGATTAAGCGTTGAGATTAGAGCGTGCAGCTCGCTTTTCTTCTCCACCTCCACATTGCAAACATGTGCCGTTTGCACCCCGCCCCTGTGCGGTTCCTAACGGTGTGTACCCTCGCGCGAGTTCATTCACCCCTCGGTGCGGGGAGGGGCAGGGACGGCCTCAGGTGATCGCCTTGGTCGATAGTCGATAGCGTTCCTTCCGCAGGAACTTGGCCGTGATTGCAGGCAATGCACAGCAGCAATCAGTAGCTAGACATCACACCGCAAGCAATAAAAAAAGAAAGTCTAACATGTCATGGTTTATCACGTCAGGTTTAGGAACAACTGTCTATTTCTGACACCATCTAACGTTGCAAGCCCTATGCCATAGTTCTTAGCTAGCAGCCCTCGGTGCCCGCGTCTCCCACCCAGCGCCCCGGTAACGCCTGACAGTGCCGCGCTGTGCACTGTGCAGACGGAGGGGGCGGCAGGGCGGCTGCTCGCCGGCTCGGTGGCACTCACCTGTCAGCGGGCTGCGGTCCGTGGCTCACCTGCCCTGCGCCGCGCGAGTGGCGTGCCGCGCCGCGCCCCCTGGCGGCCCACAGCGCGCTCCAGCCGCGCGGCCGCCTCCCCGATCAATAGGCGCAGCGCACCGCTCAACAGGTGGTCGGCCACGCCAGATCAATGCTCGCGCGGCCGCGGCGCGCATCCGAGCGCGTGTGACCGCGCCGCAGTCAGAGGCCGGAGGCGCGGCTGCCCTGGAGGCGGTCCCGGCAGCCTCAGAGCCGAGCTGGAGCCGCAGCGGCCGGGAGGACGGCCGGCACCGCCCGCAGGCGCCGCCGTGTCCTCCCAGCTCACCGCCCGCCGCGGCGGCCGGCCGGCAGCGACGACTGCGCGCAGCGGCTCTGCAGTGGTCAGCTGGCGCCCCGCCCTCCCTCTCGAGTGCGACCCCCTCCCCCACCCCTCCCCGGCAGCCACCCGTCTCCAGAGACCATTGATTGCAGTCCAGTCACGGACGCGTCGGAGTGGATGGGCGCAGCGGCCACGGGGTGAACAATGCCTCGCCTCGGGTGACGCCAGCTGAGCCAGTAACACAGCGAGTCCGAGGCTACTGGTTCTACTATAAACCACACAAAGTCCTATCTTAATTCTTAGTCATATGTCCATTTATCTTTCCGGACCGGAGCCACAATCACAGCAGCAGATGATTTGTCTGAACCGTCTCGATGACAGATACTGATAGCGCAGATCTGACCGAATCAATCGATAGCGAGACACTCGGAAATCATATTTGTCCTCCCGTCGGACAGACCTACTCGTACTTTTTGCACGATCTCTGCTGGGGCGCTAGCAGCACATCGAGTGGACCAGGATATTGCCACTCTGTCCCACTTCCGTTCACCTTGGGGGCCTAATCTCGTTCGCCTTGCCGGCTCTATATTTTCTTACACAACAGACGTTCCACCCAATAATCTTATTGACCAGCTGATAACAGGAGTACCGGAATTACGAGGCGAGCAAAAACAGACTCGGCCGTCGGAACTTTGGTGCCCAAGCATCAGCGATGAGCTTATTTATGTTCGGCGCTGTATTTGGTAAATGACCACACAAACTGCTGGGTAGTACGGGATACGGACGCTATCGCGAGAAAAATAAATGCAATCTTATTTAACGAAACACGGTGTTTAATAGAATGATGCAACAAACTGGCGTCCTCTCAGGCCCATTTGGCACAATAATTCTTGCACGTCTGTTTTACATGTGTGAACTTTTCCAAATTAATTGGGCACGTATGGCCGCCAGCATGCAATTTTATTCGGAAATTAAAAATTGATTGATTTATTGGGGAATTATGGTCATGTCTTATCGAATGAGCGGACTCAAATTAAAATGGCAACAATTTCTACGGTGCCGTTTCGGCGGCGATCAAAATGACCAAAATCGCGGCCGAAACGTTAAACACCCCCCTAGAGAGGTAGCTCAGGTTGGGATTTTCAATAGAAAATCACAATTCTAAAGAATAGTGATTGTCTCTACTGAAAAGTCCCAACCTTCGGATACTTTGAAGTCCCTAAAGGTGAAGTTTTACCTTGGCCATGATCTTCATATTTCCCGCGAAAGACGCCCTCGTCGGTGAAGGTACTAAGCCACAACCAAAGGACTTCAAAATGATTACTTTTGAAATCATGTCAAAAATATAATTTGATTGGTTTTGAAGTACATCCTGTTCCCGAGACTGAATTAAGAACGACTTGATAAATTGCATGTTTTAATCTCATCATATAGACCCCAAAGGCATGCACACTTTATATGGAAACTCTCAATTCCATGTCACTCCTGGCATAACCTATAGGCTATAAGCCAGATGGACTGGTGAATGAAGTCAAGCGTTGCTGCCGTCCCGCCGGATCGCGCCGCGACGCGGCGGCTTAGCGGGCGGCTAACGTGCTAAGCGGCACAGTCTACCTTTAGGCGCCGTCGCTAGTGCCATCTAGGGACAAACGGATTTACTACTGCTGGGGCGCGCCGCTGCGGAACTGACCGCGGCGGGAAAGCGCAGTCACGAAGCAACTAAAACTAAACCACCTATCCGGACCCGTGTACTTGATTTTTATGTAAAGTTACGGCCCAGTCCTCCTGCCCGTGCTAACCCACCCGGCGCATGGCGACTTTTTGGGGCTGTCTGTGCCAAATGCGGCCCGCGATAATGAACCATAGGCCAATGTGGTGCCTACGGGACCGAGCTGTCTCCTCAGAATACGCGACCGGGTAACACGCGAGAGTGACCGTCGGATCCAGTCAGCAACGCTATCCGGGTGTCCCCTCAGTCCGCACTCAGCCTGCTTCCCCCGTTGACCGGCTGCATGTTTCATGGTTTTGTTTCTCCCCGTTACAGTTTCTTTCGCAATACATCCTCGAAGCATCAGCCCCACGCAGGTAAAACAGACACTTAGCTCCGATTCTGTATTGAACCAGAGGATGACAGTGAAAATGACAATGGGGCTGGCTGAACATAATGCCATTAACCTACGCTGTACATCCTGCTCGGCGGTTGCGACTGCTATCATACTCGTACTTGTCACGCACCACCAGATGGAACATCCGCGCGGCATTGGAACAGACCTGCTTCCGGGTCGGAAAACACAGGTTGGCGGGACTTCCGATTGTACCCTGATGGACTAATCACCTCGGCTCGGAACGACAAGTCAGGATAGCTCGGCGACCGGACTGTATGGCAGATGGTAGATCACACGACATCGCGACAACTTCACACATCAGTCGCTATCTTGGGATGCAAGTTTTGATGTCCTCGTGACGACATACAATGCTCAACGGGTTACCCATTGTGTTCTGAACCAACAAATGAGATGGAAATCTGCATTTGAAACAAACTGAAGCAAATAATACCCATCTTATCCGCCGGTCGGCATCTGTCGCTCAGAAATCTTACCGTCACACAGATATCTCACCCGTGTGACAAAATCTGACATTGCCACACCCACAGAGCCAATGTGACAATATCAGGGACGATGTTGGCAGCATAACACCACTGTGGGTACACTGCAAGACGACAGCGGCCCGCCCTGCCGTCCGCTACCCGTCCGGCCCGCGGCGCCTCTCCATTCACTGGAAGACAGGCGGGGGAGGGGGCGGCTGCTGCGGCGGCGGCTGCGTTGGCAGCGGCGGCGGCGGCCGGCTGTAGGGCAGAGCCGCGTGCGCCTGGCCGCCGCGCCCCCGGAACACGGGGCCGACCGGAGAGGAATAGTCACCCCCTCCTCCACCGCTGGCGTTGTGATAGGTCGCGTTACTGAACTGGCCGGCCTCTGGCATGTTAAAGTCTCCCTGGTCGCCCATTTCGAGACCGGCGCTGGCGCTGTAGCCGGCCGCCGCGCCGCTGTAGCCGGCCGCCGCGCCGCTGTAGTTGCCGGCGCTAGCGCTGTAGCCGGCCGCCGCGCTGGCGCTGTGGCCGGCCGCCGCGCCGCTGTAGCCGCCGGAGCTGCCGAGCGCCGCACCGCTGTAGCCGGGGTCGACGCCGCTGGCCGGCGTGTAGCCGCCTCCGTTACCGATCCAGTCGGTCCCCCCGCCCTTACCGAGCCAGCTGGCCCGGCCGCGGCCGATGCCCCGCGCCAGGCCGCCGCCGGAGAGGCCACCGGTGGTGAAGCCGCTGTTGCTGGTGCTCAGATCGCTGCTCAAGCTGACGCTGTTGAGACTGCCGCCGGTCAAGCCGCTGTTCGTGTAGCCGCCGCCTAGTTTGAGGCTGCTGGCACCGAAACTGGCACTGGCGGTACCGGCGCCACCGCTGGTGTACCCACCGCTGTTGTACCCACCGCTGTTGTACCCACCACTGGTGTACCCAGCACTCTTGAGCAGACCGCCGCTGGTAAAGCCGCCGCCGGGTCCGCCACTAGTGCCCCTGCCGCGGCCGCGGCCGCCCCTGTCACGTGTGGAGTACGGCGTGCCCCGGCCGCGAAACCCTTCCCCGAAGCCGCGACTGTGGGACACTTTGTTGCCGGCAATCTTGTTGGCGTGCTTCTTCGAGTTCATGTGCTGAAACAAATGGAGCGTCAGAGTTTTGTCATTCCTGGCGAGTCACGTCCTTTCCCATGAGTAACATTTCTATTTCATAGAAAAACTTTGCTGTTCTGCTTTGAGAAGTTCTCGAAGGATTTGGCACGGATTCGACGATCAAGTTTACCTACACTCATCGTGTATAAACTGAATACACATATCGCTAACGCTCCATCAAACATAACTTGAGGCTAAGCTCCGCATTAGTTCCAGTGAGCGTTCACTCATCGCCTGCTAAGGAAGGGCTGTTCAACCCTTTTTATATCCACGACAAAAACATTTTTGCGCATTCGTTTTTATGTGTGTCCACTTCATATGCACGCATTGATGACATGGGAAATATGAAAATAGACACACTGTTTGAGCTACTCGGGTTACAAAGAAACATTTGTATGTATTTCTCCGAAAGTTCTATAGAAAATGCTGATCATTGAGCGAGCAACAGAATTGTTCTCCACGACTAAGATATTACAAACAAATTGTGAGTCCTCCTGTCACATGCCGGTCCCGTAGCTCAGTCGGTAGAGCGTTAAACTCCGCGTGGTGAGAGCACGCGTTCCCGGTTATAACAGTCCGGGTTCGAAGCGCGAAGGGCGTTTGACGTTTGAGCCTCCTGACAGGTATGGTTGCGGTTGGTTGCAGGCCGCAGCCAGGCGAAGTCAGTGAGGGGACCGGTCGTGCGCGGCTATGTGCGCACGTTGAACTTTGGACTCCAAATTCTGCCATAGAACCGGAATTGCGTGATCGGAGGGTAGAGGACAGGGCCAACGCAACAAGCTTCGCTTAGCGGGGGCTCTGTCCTTGTGAATCCTTCCATTCAAAGGTTCGAACTAAATTTAATGCGGGAGTTCACACAACGTTTTGGTTGAGACAATGTGCATAATCAAAATTGATCTAATGCGCTTACACTAAGGATGATAATGTACTTTTGTTTTCATATTTTACCGATGAGCAGCATATCGAGTAAATTATTTATGAATTTTCAAAGTTTAAAGAACATATAATTTTAATGTAAAAGGGGCGCCGTTGTCGTAAAAACTAAACGCAATCTTAATTCTTAAAAAAAGCACCTATATTCAATACTTAATAATAATAAATAAAACTCCTGGAATATATTTCATGCCAATGAACTTACAGCTAATTCAGACAGAACTGATAAAACTTCGGTGCCGACTGACGCAATACCAGCCTTGAGCATCAACGAACTTTTAGGTTCGCTTGAACTTTCGAAACCCGTCCAGGCGAACACATCACGAAACCAACCGTGTGATGTTTTCATCAAAACTTTTCCAAACCAGGCCTAAATTATCCTGTTTTGATAGCTACGCCTATTCGTTTTTTGAAAGGTCTGATATTATAACAATCTATCCCATGTTTGGATATGAATGATTTGCTTAAATGAAATGATACCGTGACTCGGACACACCTGCAAATCCGTTACCTAAGTTATTGAGACCTACGTTCAGCAGTCTCAATGTTTCACCATAAACGCCCTTTAACGTTTCACATAATACATAATGACTCAAGGCAAAACAATACGAGTATGCGACACAGTACCTACCAAAGATGTAAGGTGCACATAAGCCCACAGCACGTTACTGGTTACTTATCAGCGCCCGCCATAGACGGAGCCAATGTAACCGGCCCAACATTAGTAGCGAGTCGATGGATTTACCTGGTCGCGCTGGCTCTCCGAGTTGAGGTCCACATTGCACGCGACGCACTTGAAGGTCTGCACCGGCGGCTTGGCGGGCTTGCTGTCGGCGGCGGTTTTCGGTTTTGCTGCAGCGCCTGTAAAAAGGCACGTTGAGATACAGGGGTTACGATAGTGTTGAAAAATGAGATGAGGGGGTCACAAGCGGACTAGCCCCACAACCGGTTTTCTATAGATGATGATGATGATGATTTGGTGTTTGAGGGCGCACCAGCAACGAGGCGCGCCCATTTCATGGGCGCGATGAGACCAGAAGTCTGCAAGAAGACTAAGCAACATTACAATCGAAGACTAAACATAACATTACATTACATTACAATTAAACATTTACTCAATCCGTCAATATTATCGCGTGATAGCGAGCAAGCATCACTGTCTCGCCGGTCGTGTATACAATTACAGAGCCCGTAGCCACCCTACTTTCCACACTGTGTCCATCGCACCTGTACCAGCTGTCCCAGCGGCGGGGGTGGTCCTAGAGACGGCCGTGGCTCCAGAGGCGGGGGTTGTAGCTCTAGCGGCGGGGGCTGTGGCTCCAGCGGCGGGGGCTGAGGCTGAGGGAGCGGGGGTTGTGGCTCCAGCGGCGCGGGTGGCTCCAATAGCAGAGGCTGAGGCTGAGGGAGCGGCGGCAGCGGCTTTGGCAGAAGTGGCCACGATCGGGCCCGCGGCAGCGGACGGCTGGCTGCCCGCGCCGACACCAACTGCTACCGGCTGCCGGTCAGCCAGCACGATGGCACTGCCGCACCGCTTGGTCTTCTCGTTCATCTTGTGTCGGCTTCCTGCCAGGGCACAGGCAGATGAGTGATCAGATTCAACACACTTCATACATGACGGTCAAACAGACAGTCAGACCAGGCGTATAAGACATCTATACGGGTCCCTCGTGCTCCGAAATCCCTCGAAACTGGTGTGAAACATCACAGAGAGTGGGGGGTCGCACCCGTGCCGTACGCTCGGACAGTGTTTTCCGATTTCTCACAGATTTCCCCTGGGTGTGAAAACATACCGCTGAGATGCATGGCCAGCTGTTGTGAAGAATTGAGCGTGATGTCGCACGGGGCGCAGCGGAACATGCTGTTGATTCCGGTAGCCGCCGGGATCTTCTCTTTCAGATCAGATAGGATCTGTCGCGATTTCACCTGAAAGTGCATTGATGACATTAGGCATATACAACTGCGAGAAGTTTTTGATAACCAATATATGAGAACATGATCATTCATAAAAATGTACGAGGTTAAAGGTAATCTGTAAACTTAGATACAAGCTTAAATGCTACTAGCTTCAGATCTTATTTCGGGTAGACCAAAAATGTCCGTCCCGTGGCTCAGTTAGTAGAGCGTTTGTATTTGTATATTGTATTAGCGAAGCATTCCAATGATGGATTAGTGTCAGCTTCTAGTCGATGACAATAGTAAAAACATATAAAACACAAACACACACACGCATACACATTGTACTAAAATACCAAAACGCTAGTCACATGTCGAGTTTAAAAGTCGTAAAAACTCCGCTCTAGTTCGAGAGCCGGTGGTGGCAGGCGGCAGGCGATTCCAGGACGAGGCCGCTCGGTACGACAAGGCCCGGCGCGACATAGACAGCCGGTAAGCCGGCAGCTCCAGTACACCGGCACACGTTGCCCGCGTTGAGCGCTGCGACACAGCGGCTCGCCGAGTGAATAGGGAGCGGATCGCCTCCGGAGCGCAAGGGTCACTCAGCGCCCTGAACACAGTGGAGCAGTCACGGTGGACGACAAGATCAGCAATGTCATGCCAGCCGAGGGCTCTCAACACCGGTGAAATATGTTCAGAAACCCGCGCTCCGGAGACGACCCTAGCACCAAAATTCAGGATCTTCTGCACCTTATGTAAATGACAGCGAGCGGCCCCGCCCCAGACGGAGAGGCAGTAAAGGATGTGGGGGAAAACATGGCACTGGATAAGGAGCTTACGGGTCTCGGGGGTAAGATGATGACGAATTTTATACAAACATAGAAGGATGGAATTGCACTTTTTGACAACATTTGAAATGTGCTTTTCCCAGGATAGGGTTGAGTCGACCGTCACTCCCAGCATCTTCACAAAAGGGGATGGTTGTAGTGTGTGACCGGATATGGTAAGGGAAAAGGATGAGGTTTTCTTGAGGTTCTGGCCAGTACCCACAAGAAGCAGGGTGGTCTTACTAGGATTCATTTTCAAGGAATTGGATGTGTAATAGGACTGGACAGCGAGCAAGGTGTCTTCCTGTTGTTTTTTAAGGACAGGTAAGTCAGTGGGAAGAGCGGAATCGAGGAGTTGGGTATCGTCTGCATAGGAAATGAGCCGTCCATGAGGAAGGTAGGAAGGTAGGTCATTTGTGAAGATGCTGAAGAGGATTGGGCCGACCAGGGAGCCCTGCGGAACGCCATGGGACATAGGAAGGGATAGGGAGCCGCCTCTCACCACCTGCCGCCGGCCACCGAGGTAACTCGCGAACCACCCGGGGTCAACACCGTACCAGCTCAACTTGGACAATAAAATACCATGGTCAACACTATCAAAGGCGCGACTGAGGTCCACCGACGTGAATCATGGCAACAATGTGACCCTTGTCGACGCGGCGCGTCACCCACTCGACAGCGTCGGTGAGAGCATCCTCCGTTGAGTGATATCGGCGGTACGCATACTGAGATGGTGATAAAATAGAGGACGTATCAAGATAAGAAGCGAGCTGATTGCAAACCACCTTTTCACATACTTTCGATAACACTGGTAAAATTGATATAGGTCTAAAATTAACAGCGCTGTCACGGGAACCAGACTTATGAAGCGGCACGACAGAAGCAAGCTTCCAAGATGAGGGAAACGTACGTAAAGAAAATGAGGCATTGACTAGATGGAGAATGTGGGGTCCAATCACAGGAAAACACTGGCGAATAGCAAACAGTGGTACACCGTCATGTCCCACCGCACGGGAGGACGACAACTGCCGCAGGGCCACAGACAACTCCGGGAGTGTCGCCGGCCGCAGACACATGCTGGCCGTGGTGACACAGGGCGGCCTCGGCGGGAGTGGCGGGGGGTTGCCGGCTGCCAGTTCAGCGGCAATACGCGGACCGACTGTCGCGAAGTGCCGGTTGAACTCATCCGCCCGGGCCGGCGACAGTCCCTCGCGGGAGTTACCACCCCCGCCCCTCCCCGGACGCAAGGCGGGGGTGGTAACTCCCGCGTTGGACTCCCAGCGGCGAAATCCCGGGTTCGAGTCGCTCCGTCGCCTGACGGGGTTAGCCTGCGGTTGGTGGGAGCAACCGCAGTAAATGGAAGTCAGTTGAGTGGGACAGACTGTGTTCGGCTTCGATGGGTACGTTTTATCCACATTCTACCGTTGCCTGGAATTGCGCGATCAGACGGAAAGGGTCGAGGTCTACGCAACAAGCTCTGCTTACCGTGGGCTAAAGCTCTGTAGATCCGTCCATTGAAACATTCGAGAAAAAAGCTTGCATTGATTGCACAACAAAAGTAAGAAGTAGGAAAGTAGTGTGCTAGAGCACTTTGTTATATCTATAACAATATACAACTATGGCCTCCCAAAATTTCCTTTCAGTTGAAGACCAATCCTGGAAGTTCAATGCTTCAAATGTGCTGGGTATGCAATGAATGGAACGGAACAGAAGGAGCATTGTAAGCTTTGCAGTAGTACACTTACTGCCTTGGCATGTTTGGCTCCAGCCAAGTGAGAATTCAGTTCGATGGTCCTATTGAAGTCCTTGGCGCACACCTCACAGTGCAGATTTGCCTGCTTGAACAGAAACAGAACAGTGGATAGGTACAGCTGCAGTCATAAACAAAAACACATGTATTCCAGATTTACAGCATTTGGTAAAAAGATCGAAAGTCGGTACAATGATCATTGATCATGGTTCAGATGCTTGACCAACTAACATAAACACAATAAGGAAAGCTTTTAGTACTTCAATGTATAGGCACATTAAAATGTATACCAGCTATGGATATAATTTTTATAAAACATCTCTCTGACACGAATCATATCATCTAGTAATAATAATTAGAAACGCATCTGCTTATTATCATCATCAAACTTCAGCAAACCTTTTGATTGGAAGCAGTCTGTTGACTTCCATTGTTGGGTGTAGTTCCTTGGCCCTGATGAGCTTGAGATGAAGGCTTTGAATCCATCCTGGAATGAACACAAAGAAATATGAACGATCAGTAGGTACCTATGACATTAAATTACACTCGGTGCGGACGGCGGATATATAGGTATGGAAGACCTCGCTGAGCATTGCTGAGCGTTGTGAAGTACTTAATCCTGCAAAGGGTTCCTGCCCACTGCGGGATTGACGGGAATGAGAGCGCGGAAGACCTGGCGAAACAAGCGGCCGCACTGCCGGAAAGGTCATCTTATGATTTTGCATTAACAATAACTTGAGGCGTCGGACGTGATGCGTGTTGATGAAAAGAGCCCATGAAAGGAGTCGGTGAAATCGTTCTCAATTTTGGGTACGCCGTTCCCATAATAAGGAACGCTGGCAGCGCCAGTTCTACCGTTACCTGAAATTGCGCGATCAGACGGAAAGGGTCGGACGGACAGTGCACCAAAGTGTTCCCAAATTTGGGCACGCTGCCCGGGCGGCGGACTGCTTTAGTAATAATGGAACGATTTGAAACTATGTTGGGCTTTACAATATCAAACTTTTTCCCAACAATATTAATACAAATATCAGGAGGTTCACGATCATTTGATATTTGTATGGACGTCATTTAACGGTTCTTCTTCTTGTTTTAAATAACGCCTACATAGCGTTTTCATATTTGGGTTTTTCGTTCCCAAAAATGAGCACGCTTGACCATAGTTCCGCCTACTGAGAAGTGGAGTGTGAAATCTGCTGTACAACTAGGCACCTACCCCACAACCAGTTTGCAAAGTATGACAATCTCGACGAGATCTCGTCGGTGCGGGCTTGATCGGCTGGTGCGGATTTGCCTTGGTGCTGTGCGGATTTGCCTTGGTGCTGTGCGGATAAAGTGAAGTGCGGTGCGGAATGAACTTATTGACGGACTTGACAGGCCAGATGAGATGGATGAGGGAAATCGAAAAAAATAACATTGTTGTAGCTTCGACACCACGTAATTCAGTGTCCTCTCGGGTCCGAATGAGTGTGCAGTGGTCAGAACGGACTGCCAGTGCTGGTGGTCCCATCAATCACGTGGGTCGCCCGCAAGTTCGCACTTTTTGCACTGTTAAACACGAAACGCACCGCTCGGCTCTGCGAGGCGCCGGCGGTAGAGTAAGAGAGATGAGCACGGCCGATGAGAGGGATTCAAGATTTATACGGCCGATGGGAGCCGAGGGCCAGAAATTCACTGCTCCGCCACTACAAGCTGTCAAATGCGAACAGTTTATCGGGTACCTACCTACGTTCGACGCAGTTAATAGGTTGCATTGAAAAAATCTGAGTTTGTTTCTTTCCTCACTCTGCAGCATTCGTGAACGAGATGCGCTCGGCTCATGTTAGAGTTTAGCGTTGTCGCGGTGGCAGGTAGGGCGAGATGCGCATGGCTGATGGCAGGCCTTGGGGACCACCACTTTGCCACGGCTAAGTAGTAAAATCCGCTGGGAATGACTTGCCTATCAGATTTGTTGTTCGATACAGCTAATGACCTCAAGAAATGCCAAAAATGCATGCATGCGATGGGCCCAATTTTTGCCGTTTATATTTTTAGTTCTATAACTGGGGCCTTCACAAGTTGTCAAGCTGTTCAGCTAAATGACAGTGTCAACACCACTAGGGTAACCATGGGACGTACATCGCACAATTATCACCCTGGATGAATCGCCGGGGGCAGGTGCTACTGCCATATGGGATTCTTGTATTGGCATGACATGCTTTTTATTCTAGTTTTGATCGGCTCATTTCATTTCCATACTGCTGAGAGGTCAGGCTTGTGACTCATGTCAATAATTGAGGTCAATGCGGCTTTCAGCTGGTCACTTGTGCGGGTTCGGTGCATGTTTTATTTTATACTCTCAGCTGGCTTTGCGGCAGATCTTCCTGCTCTGTCTGAAGGATTGGTGCGGATTTAGAGCTTGGACCGGTGAGCATCGTCAACCTGCGAGCCATACCTACTGGTCCTGATCCCACAAAACTACAGCGCTTTATGCTATATGGCTTTATCATTTCCCTTGCCCACATCCTTTCTGATTGCTGAGTGGACGAAACCCATTGAGGTGAGTGAAAATAGGTTGCACCGCACGTTTTAAAATGTGGATCCATTTTGATCAACTTCAGAATTAGTAGGTACCTACCTGTCTACCTATAATTTTTGTTACCTTACCTTACCTTACCTTACCTTAGTTGGTCATCGGGTTATAAGGCCACTCGGCCTATGGGTCCCGCTCGTATCGAGTGAAAGGCATAATCGGAGAGGCTATGGTCCTTAGTACAGGGTAGGGATGTCGAACATCACGCTCGACCAGTGCCGGTCCAGCCGCGCCTTGAAAGACGACAGCGACTCAGCAGCGACAACGTCTGTTGGCAGGGCGTTCCAATCGTTGATGATTCTGACGCTGAACGCGTTCCTGCGAGAAAGATGCTTGGCGTTTGGCTTCCTCAGCTTCCACTGGTGGCCTCGCGTGTTTTGCGCTTCGTGTCTCGTCAGCAGTGACTCAAGCGGCACATCCAGAAGTCCGTGGAAGAGCTGGTACACGGTCACCATATCTCCACGACGACGGCGGTAGTGCAGCGATGGGAGGCCGAGGCGGCGAAGCCTGTCAGGGTACGGCAGGTCTCTGAGGTCCGTGATCAGGCGGGTCGCGCGTCGCTGCACCCTCTCCAGTCTCTTCTGGTCTTCTTTGGAGAATGGACCCCAGATGGCGTTCCCAAACTACCTATATTACTTTATTATAAATTATACGTATTTATTATAAATTATACGTACACCGTATCGTTATGAGCTGATTGTATGACTTCTGACAGCTAAATGGCTGATTTATTCGCGTACCTATTTTGGCTTCGAAGCCCTCAATTCATAGTAAATTATGTCTGCTCCTGCGCGCACGCCGCGCCAGCGACACACGAGACCTTTTGCGCTGTTTGTATTTTCTGCGTCAGAAATGTAAAAATGTGAATGAAGTTGAAGGAAAAACTATGTGATGAATAATTTTAAAGCGCTGATTGCCTTTCAAGTTGAATCATGAATGATGCAGTTTTTATTTTGATCTCCAGCATGTATATTTTTTGGAAGTGTTGTGGTGAATTTTAATCTTATTTTTCGCTTTGAGTCTTTCAAACAAATCAAGCTATTTTCAATAAAAATACTTATTTTTCCTTCCCCATTTTCCTTCATTGTTTTGCTGAGAGCTCTTACTTGTTTTGATTTGGCAGCTTTTGTCGCACTTCGCTGAAAGATGGAGGAGGGTGATGGCGCACATTCTTTGAGTTATGGAACAAAAATGACTGAGTTTTTAAGTTATATCGGCATAATTGCCGGGGAAGAACCACACACAAATGAAGTGGTTGTCTTCCTGTCAAAGAATCAAGTGAGTATCGCTTCAAATGATGCATGTTTTCAATTTGTGTTTCACCTGGCCCTGCTTACCTGGTCATTTTCTGTTCTGTTCTACCTGAGCTCTTGTGCTTATTAAATGTCGTTTTTATTTAAAAATGTGGTTCTTAGCTCTTTTGTTATATTGTTCCTATGTTAGGGATCAATTGTGTGTCAATGTGCTCCTCGGTCACTTATTAATCAGCAGGCTGTCAGCTACGCTACCTGGCATTTTTGGCTTCTCATTGACTGAATATTGAATTCACATGGTATGTGGGGTTCACCAACAAGAGGCCAAGAAATGCGAGCAAGCGGCTGCACTTTGAACAATTAGCAGCATCAAGCACGCTGATTAAAATTCAACACCACACCGATCTGGTCCAGACTGTAAAGCGTGGCAGCAGGGTCAGTTGGGGGAGGTTTGGTCAATGGTTGTCATTTTTAGCACATGCCATTTTTGGCAACCATGTGCTAAAAATGACAACGCTATCAGCTATTTTTAGCAACGATGAAGCCGATTTCACTCCTCAGCGAGGAAATCACGATTTTGGAAATACAAGCACTGATTTTGGAAAAGAAGTGCTGCCACCTGGTGCAAGAAGAAGAAACCAGCTTTAATATGGCCGTTGTTTGTATGGTAGTCCAACGTTGAAGTATACCCTTTTTTGTGGCCCGAAGTTGGAACTTTAAATTGAAGCATCCGAATATGATCGATATTGATCGAAATCATGATGTTGATGAAAAAAATAATATGTTAAGTTGAGAGAGGAGGCCATTTTATCCAGATGCGGTGGTTTACTTCTTGAAATTATTTTTGCTTACGACGACTGCCATGTAATGAGGGATAATTAGCAGCCGTCATTAGCAAAAATAATTTCAAGAAGTAAACTACTGCATCTGGATAAAATGGCCTCCTCTCTCAACTTAAAATATTATTTTTTTCATCAACATCATGTTTTCGATCAATATCGATCATTTTCGGATGCTTCAATTTTAAGTTCCAACTTCAGGCCACAAAACAAACTACCATACAAATAACAGGCATATTAAAGCTGGATTCTTCGTCTTGCACCAGGTGGCAGCACTTCTTTTCCAAAATCAGTGTTTATCTTTCCAAAATCTTCATTTCCTCGCTGAGGAGTGAAATCGGCCTCATCGTTGTCAAAAATAGCAGAATCGTTGTCATTTTTAGCACGTGTGACAAAAATAGCACGTGCTAAAAATGACAACGATTGACCAAACCTCCCCCGACTGGGGTTGGGAAGTTGCATCAGCTGGGGTGACAAAGCTGGACCAGCCTGCACCAACCAGGCTGGAAAGCTGCACCGGCTTACACCAGAACATGACCTAGAACTTCTGCTACAGAATTTATAAATTTGCACTTATGATAGGCTAATGCTGCAATAACTTGGATTACCCCATTATCTCCTAACTACCTACCTCTTTTGTGTCTCCTGTGCATCCTTTTTTAGGCCATGGTGTGACAGTACAGCAGCTCACTACAGCCATGGTGAATCTGCACTGCACAGCACAGCAGCAGTGCCTCAGCACTGACAAGATCTCATTAAGTTAACCATGCCTCACAGTCTGGGCTCTGGCTGTGCTAAAGGAAAAATGTTAATGTTGCCTTAAACAAGCAGGCACACATACAATAGTCATACCACATATAAATTGGCAAGTGTTTAGGCATGGCAGTACAGGCCAAAAAGAGCTAGAATACTTCTCTCATCATCTCTCTGTGTGTAGCAGTTCAAGGACATTGCACTTGATAAGCACTAGAGTGACATCATTTTTTTTTCATGACACCTAACTACAAACATTCCAGTTTCATTCAGCCTCCATCTGTTCTGTAGGCTTGGGAAACATTAGCTAAAGTGGGGTTCAAAAGTTCCATGTATGGTAAATTGAGGTAATATTACAGTGACAACAGTCAGTCAGTGGACTAAAGACTGGACTGCAAGGCACAGACTCTGTGGACCAGACTCTGTGGCCATGCTGCAAAGACTAGCAGCTGTAAAAGAGCTTCATGGCAGCTCTGCATGATGACAAATATGTGCCAGCCCACACCAGCTGGCAACCAGGCTGGAAGTTCACACCAATCCACATGAAAAATGGCTTAATTTTCTATGACAATAATATTTTTTGCTTATTATGAGCTACTGCAATGTAAAATTGATTATTCCCCATCTGATCCATTGATTCATGTGGGTATTTTTCGCCTCAAGATGAGGGTTTCAGCAATCAGTAGTATGGGTGTGGCCTTAACAGTTCTGGGTCTCACTGTTCCAGTGAGCCCACTCACCCAGGATGAGTACAGGAACTAGGGGAGCAGGGGGCTGCACATCCAAAATATCAGTTCGTGAAGTTCACGAAACCCTTTATCTTGAGACCTACAGTACGTTCTTTTATTGAATGACTCTGTGCCAGCACCCTCTATTCAGTGCAGTGCTCAGCTTGAACCTGTGCCGCTCGGCGCAAAATCTGCGCTATGCAACGGTAAATCGGCACCACACCGCGCACCCGCAGAGTGGCCTCGCAGTCCGCGCCGACGAGATCTCGTCGACACTGCCATCTTTACAGTTTGGCTGTGTGGTATGACCTCAGTGGCATAGTTACGGTGACGTGGATCCGCGGGCTGCCTCCCGGCGGGCGTTTGGCCCACGCCCGAGGCGCCGGGTTTCATCACTTGTCTCACACTCTGCCGTTGACGAATGGAGAACTGCGCCCTCGGCAAACCGCTGCTACAACAAAAATGCCACACCACTATTGTCACTTCTGTCGAATTGCTTGTGTGGATCAATATAGGCGGACCGTTTCGCCCTCCTCTCCCACCGATGTGCGGGGTGCTAGTTAGTACTCCTCATTACTGTATGCCTGGCCTATTCAAATACATTAGCCTGAGGGGTGTGGTAATAACTGGTGTAAGCAAAGTGACCACGGTCAAAAATGCATTACCAAGTCAACATTTTGGGATTGCCTCGTTCAAAAAACGGCTAAGAGCTTCGGTCTTATTTAATACTGAACGAGGCCGGTGTAAATAAATTTTCAAGACCGAGGTCCTTACTGGATTTTTGAACGAGGCCGAAGGCCGAGTTCAAAAATCAGTAAGGACTGAGGTCTTGAAAATTTATCACCGGCCGAGTTTGGTATGTATTTTACTGTATGCCAACGATAAATTTATTTTCTGGACCGAAGCTCTTAGCCGACTTAGGAACGAGACCATCCCAAAATGTTGGCTTAAGTGCATTCTGGTAATGCATTTTTGACCGTGGTCAATTTGCTTACACCAGTTATTACCACACCCCTCTGGCTAATGTATTTGAATAGGCCAGGCATACAGTAAAGGCAATTATTTTATCGTTGGCATACAGTAAAATACATACCAAACTCGGCCGGTGATAAATTTTCAAGACCTCAGTCCTTACTGATTTTTGAACTCGGCCTTCGGCCTCGTTCAAAAATTCAGTAAGGACCTCGGTCTTGAAAATTTATTTACACCGGCCTCGTTCAGTATTATATATAACTGTTGTTTATATGAATGTTGCAAAATGCTCTCTTTCAATTGCAGGTGGTGGTTGGGAGCATTGCTCTGCTTCTCTTGTTGGTTACCATCATTCTCTACTGCATCAGAACCGGGTCGACCAGTGAAATCAAGAAGAATCTGCAAACCAAAGGTGAGTACTGAGTATGCAGGTAACTCGTTGACCAACTGTCTCAGCCCTGGGGAAAACTGTGGATCACCAGCCCAATGCTCCGGAAGCTGGAAGGGCAGCTGTTTCCTATGGAGACAGCTACCTATGTTCTGTTTTATGTGTCATCCTAGCTGTTATCATTTCCATCGTGTTTGGGTTGATATGCGCCTCGATAAGACCGGCTGAGTTGGCGGTGAGCGAATCGACAGCCGTTTTTATGTCCGCCGCCGACTGACAGAGCGGACTTTGACCACTGGACGACGGTCACCAGTCGCTACTTATGTGACTCATAAGTAGAACCCGAGATGAATCTCGGGGTGCTACGCACTATGATTGGTAAAAAACTCAAAACTTCTTTTTGTCGAAGTGCGTGACTAGAAAGTTTTTGAGGAAAAGGAATAGTGCCGAATGAAAGACATGTCGAAAATCGAATTCATAGGTAATATGACCAAATTAAGAAGAGTAGTATACCAAACTGTTATTATGCTATAGTGAAAAAAACTCACACACACAATGACAAATTGATCGCTCGCTTACCTGTTGGTGGAATTATATCGAAAAAAGGAAAGGAATTTATCGCTTCAGGGAACGCATACCAGTGAGATGGCGACATTCCCTTGAAAGCAGGGCGGACGAAAGCCAGATTGATCAGATGCACGAACGATGAAGTTCAGTTTCGCTGCGGTTTTCTCAGTCCAGACATCACGTCATCCAAAGGCTCCCAGTCAGCTGGTGTATATTGGTTATTGACAGGACTACTTTTCTCAGCGAAACCAAATCATAAGCTTACTTATGCCTTATGATTCAATTGCCTTA